CTCTTACAGGAGCTGAGACCTTCTGGAAGGTCCCTCAAAGCCCCAACTTGCTCCTGCATTAATGGCTTGTGCCCTCACTCACACAAGGAGTGATCAGCTCCTCGGACACATCAGCTTTTCCATCACATTTCAGGGTTGGCTCCTTACAGCCCTTGCTCACCAGTGACCACCACCACCAAACAGGGTGAGCTGGCTCTCCAAGCCACCATCAGTACGGAGGCAGTTCATGTCTCCAGCTTAAATGTCAAAAGCTTGGCTCTCCTTTGGTCACGCCAAAGTAAGACCTTGTCATCCCAAGCCCTGCCTGCCAGGGAGAGCTGTTTCCATCCACCCAAGTGAAGATCATTCTGCTTTTTACCAAGGCCCTTTGGATGTCTGCATCAGGTAACACAGGAATGAAGCAAAACCAGAGAAGTGTCCTCTTAGATGGGTCTGGCTTCAACTTGGTGACCTCCAAACTCCTTTCCCAGCCTCTCTGTTCGCCGCACAATGACACCGTCCTTGGCGTGTGTTACCAGCACAACACCGACATGTTTGACAACAGTTGGTAAAATGAGTCATCCTGCTTTGGATACTTTACCATCCCTCTGGCTACAAATCACAAACATTTACCTGTTCCCTGTTAGAAATTCAGGTCACCAGATGGCATGATTCGCCTCTGACAGTCCTGTTTTTTTTCCTTAAAGCATCCTGTTTTCAGCTGAGTTTGGATGGGGGAAGCAGACCAGAACCTCAGGACACAGAGATGTGATTAAAACAAAGCGTGGAGGAGCCCTCCTTGGCCCCCAAGCGCTGCTCAGCCGCAGCCAGGGCAGATGGACCATCAGCATTCGGGACCTGGTTGTTTCCTGAGGATTGAGTTTCCTGATTTTGCGCTGATTATCTAGATGGGATCCAGCTCAGATCCTCAATCACACGCCATCTTTATATCAGCTTTGAAACACCCATTTTGACTTCACCCACAGTTTTAAACAAAAGATAGTCAGCTCCTGTCAAAACACCAGCGCAAATGACAGCCCCATCCCTGCCCGTGCATTTTCCTGCTGCCAGAAATAGCAATCCCTGTCCCTCTCAAACACACACGCTTCTTGTCAAGCCAACCTGACAGCTCCAACAGGAGTAAGAGCTAGAGGATTCCCACACGTTCTTCACCCCCCTGCATCCCCCTTCCACCTCAGCGTCTCTTTTACAGACCTGGAAACACGTGTGTGCTGCTCTAACAGCATTCAAAAAAACCCAATTATGTATATACATTATAAAACTTTTTAGCACTTTTGAGAAGATAAAAATCTGAAGCCTCGCAGGTGCAAAAACTAGAGAGTAGATAAAAAATGCCGGATGCATCTTCACTTTTATGCCCATCCACCACTGCTCAGCTTGTGAAGGTGTGGGGTGCAGGTGGGAGCACACTGTCCCCCACCGCTGCCCCAAAGAGCTGGGACCGACCTGCCCAAATCAGCCCCTGGCACCCGCCCCAGGGCCTCCCACACCCCACTCCGTGCCCCCCCCCCAACCACCTCACCCC